TATTGTTATGTAACTTTATTAAAAACTTCAACAAAATTTAAATTTTGTTACGACTTCATTAAGTATAAGCTTAAAAGTCCAACTGCATCCAAAAATACATCAACTGCAATCAAAACATACAACAATAAACGTATTTTAAACACATGCATCGTCCAAGTCATCATTTTGCATTCAAAGTTCAGTCGAATGTTTTATTTAGCTAGACTTTTTCCATCGCCAATAGGAGTATTCAGGTCGGAGGGTGAAATATATTATTCAGTCTGTACACGCCTTGCAGAGAGGTCGACAAACATAGCTATTCTAACCTCACATTCGCTCTATTACATGTACAATATAGTTTGTAGAACCAGGGTCATTAGGTGTATTATTAATATGTTTCACAATTATACTACACGTACATTGAAACTGTTTTTAGTTAACCCATATTTGATGGAAAAACTATTTAACCTATATTTTTGAAAACCTCACTAATTTTAGTAAATTATTTCTCTTTTGTTTTTACTTATATGACAATGTATTAATTTTACGGAAAGTAAATAAAAAAATACGTCTAATAACACTTAAAATATATATTTACGCTTATACTGTAAACTCACAAGACGGTAAATATATACAAAAGATGGTAAGTAGTGATCGATTTCGATCAGACACTAGGTGAATAGGTGAATGAGCAGACCCAATTAATTTGATAGAGAATTAGTTGAAAATACAAATTTAATTTTATTTTTGATGGATTGTGTTATAACATGGAAGTAGTAGATGAAAGTCTGTTTAGGGTAAATACTGAGATGAACAAATTAATTAAATTGTATAAAATTTTACACAAAAGTAAATTATGAATCAAACGAAGAAACAACCGTGTTTTTTATTCATCTTTGAATGCATTGGAGCTACGCCCTGTGGAAGCTTAAGCTTTTGATGCAGGGAAATTGGGAAATTCAGTGGAAAAGATACTACATTATTGGTTGTTTTTCATGGAAACAAAAGGATATCCAAAAATATTTACATTTTCTCTCCATACACTTGTTTTACTTAATTTAAAATCAAGTAATTTTTTTACTGAGCATTGTAGCTGATTGGTTAGGATAATAGATAATTTAACTGAACGAATTAAGTGGTCAAATTTATTTTTGTTCCATTAATAAAAAATCTAATTATTCTGAATAATTGAGTAACTACTACAAGTATTAGATACTTATACAACAACCAAGCTAAAAATTAAAATGCAAATTGTAAAAACATGTATAGATTCACTGCATAACTACAAGATTGAATCAAGATCAGTTACAAGTTAAAAATAAAATATTGCATAAGGCAACTACTAATTTGTGTTGTTACTGACTACTATGTTACTAAAACAAAATAAATCCTATTATTATGATTAATTTCGTTGCTGGAGAAGTGGAATGCTATTCATCATAAATTGGATAGGTGCTGTCAGTATACGGCCCACTGTTTTTACTCGAATCCAAAATTAATTACTTTGACTCAAACATGTACGAAATAACACTCAAACTTTGGTATGCATCTGATATGAATTGAAAACACCAAGATATGACATACACCTAAATTAAATTCAACTTCTGCATTACATAGGACACATATGACATAGAACATAGGATTTACAGTTGAAATTGCATTACTACATAATGACATTACATTCCTTTAGTTTTAACCAACGACTTTAACTTTTTATGTGTCAAAATTTGTTTTAAAACTAACGGAAATTGCTTTAAAAAAATATAATATGCTTTGGGTATTTAGATTTATTTAAGTATCGGTTCGCCGATCATAAAACTTTACTACAGTGAGCTAAAACCCCACTTAAAGCTCCGAAGGTGAAAGAATTACCAAATCGTTGTAAAATGTGTCTCAACATAAATTAGCTAAAAATTGTACCCCTATAAATTTGATTCGTATGACTAAAGTTCACACATTTATAACCAGGAATCTGTAGGAGGTTATTTTCCAACCCCTCACGCAACATCAATTGACGTCAGGTTTCAATTCTGTAACCAAATTTTTCTGTTAGCAAATCGGTCATTTTGGATATAATTTGTTGAAAATTCTTCAATATTTGCCTATTAATTTGAATCTCATAAAAAGGGATTTTGGAAAAAAGGAAGTGGATGGACTTATTCAAGGGAATGGATTTATAAAAAGAGTAAAATATCATAGATTATGAAATTTTTGTAAATAATTTCGTTGGATAGAAGTAAAAGAGATATGTTTCTATAGTTAATTAGTTTTTTTTTAATTCCTTTAACATTTTGTTGAGATGGTTAAAAACATATATTACAATTTACCATGCAACCCCTACTCTGATGATAGCATTGAATTGGTCTTTTTACTTGGGGACATAGTTCATTCATCAAATGATCATATACTTCAGAATTTACGGTATATAACCAAAGGTCCCTGGTTCAATCCTCTAAAAAGTGTGTGGATTTTTTATGGTTAAAAATAGCTTTTTGATTGCCCTTGATAATTAGGCTTTTGATAAATGGTTCTAATTAACGAAACAGCTGATCTTGGTGAGTAACAAAGCAACACAAGGCATCACACTCCATTCTACACTAACACTTTACTCATATTTGGGTTAAAATACTCACATAGGTGGCGTCCCACATCTCAATAATTTAATAATTAATAATCAATAATCTTCATCAATGGTTTGAACCTGTTATTTGTACATTACTAATTTATTATTAATCATTAATTTGCAAAAAATTCATCACATAATACTATTTCCCACCTTTGACTTTTATTTGGTTTACTCTTACAGAACCCGGTTGATGTAAATATTAGATAAAAAATAAAATCCTCCCTGTGCTAAAATTGGTTGAGACGTTTTGGCTAAGGGAAGGATTATCCCTGACCTGTCAAACGAGGGGATTTAAAGTCTTCAATAAATCCATTAAACATTCTGTCACTACAAGTTACTAAAATAGTTTATTACAATAGATTATGGTCTACGTATCACTAGTTGATCATTCTTTTATTTTGGGATACATCTAGATTTTAATTCGTGCTAAGTAATGTTTTACAATAATTGTGCTATCAAACCAATAAACATACATCAGTTTAATTTCTCTTTGACCACTTATGAATGAAAACTATGGTAGCAAATGTTTTAACTGTTTATTCAATTTCAAAGTTCAAGGACAAGATTTTTTAGTTATTCTACCACTGAATAGTGTTGAATATTAGATAACTTTTATTCTAAGTCATTTTTTTGCTTGCTCTATCTGGTAACCAAATATTCATGAACAATGTTAACCTGATTTAAAATTAAAGGAGACTTCAAATGTAATAAACGCATGGAACGCAATTTTAGTAACGCATTTATGTATGTAATATTTAACTATCGCTCAGTGTAGTTCTAACTGAAAATGAATTTCTTAATAATTCAATAACATCAGCCTCAGTATGGTTTAGATTGTTGTATTGTTAAATGTGTTAGATAAAAATAATTGATATAGAAAATGTGTTTACTGAAAAAGCTTTGAATATTATCTTGTAATTTAGACACACACAACTAAACAAATATTCGTTTTTCAAGGGCCAGGCTAATGATAATTTATCATACAACGTTTTTTTTTTCAATTTAAAGGTAGGGTTATGACCAATCATTCCAAAGTAGAATTCTACGCTGATTACAATTCCAAAATTCGTTTTTAAAAATCTTGATCTATTCTAAAGTTATGAGGACTTTTTATAACTTTATTTTTAGCCCATTTTAACATTGTGCGTTTACAAACCAATACCATTTAATAAAAAAATAGTGCTGGCTAAAGATAAGTAACACCACCAGTTATTGTCAACCTATTTTCACTTGGATATGACGGATGTATTTTAACGACCAAAGTAAAGCATACACACATGCAATTCTTCCATGTACAAAAACATGTTATACAACTATAAAGCAAAAGTATTTTTTTTCTTTAACACAGAGTCAAATCTGAGTTCTAATAGTGTTGCCGAGCTATATAATAGAACAGTCTGGGTAGTCAAGGTAGTCATTATAGCTGTTAATGAGCTTCCCCATCAGGGCGCTCTGTTCCCTTTATACTCGTCCTCCCTATACAGTATTGCAAACTGTCAACAACCGGAGGTAGGTCAACGAGGCGTCCATAAAGAGAAGCCATCTGTTAACAGTTTCCTCATCGTTTTATGAGGAATATTGCATGACAAAGATTTTTTTCAATATTAGGTTTGAATGATAGTCTTTTACGAAAGATGGAAGAGTTTAAGATGTATAAAACAATTGGGGGACAGCTTTTAATCGAAATAGTTGATAATTTTTGCATTCAAAATATATACTTACCTAAACATGAACAATAAAATTGTGTGTTTGAATATTAACTGTAATCAAGTACAAGGAATAGAAATTCAATGATTTATTGGTCCAGTAAAAGTTATGCTTAACATCCTAAACATTAGTGTATTTAGTCCTTATTGAAGAGTTGGTAATGTTTAACCTTGAATTTGATTATGTGGTGAATTACAAGGTCAAAAATTGTCGACCAATAACTCCGTGGGCTTTGACCTGTGTGTGTGTGCGAGCTGTAACGAAAAGAGCAGGAGATAAGTCATGTCAAGAAGAAGAACAATAACTATCTGTGCTGATAAATTTAAATAAGGATCACTGAAACACGAACAGAATAATAGCTTAATGGGTTTCTCAGTCTGTTGGGCACCAAATGAGCGACCAACTCACTGACAACGAGATCTGTTATCAATAAATCGGTGGTACATAACTGTAAGGTAAGTTTTTGCACCCTACGAAATCAGTAACAACACAATACAAGGGAATTAGGCTCTTGTCCAGAACCTTTTTGTAGGGTTGAAGTAAGTCAAAGCCCGGTATCTCGATGATTCAAAGCCCCGCAATCTAGGCTTACTATAAGACCAGGTTGCTTTCGCGTACAAAAATTAGAAGATAACGATCAATTGCTAGTAAATCAACATAGAATAAACTAATTCGTACAGTAACGTACCTTCCCATCACTCTTGCGGTAGGCGTCATAGATCTTCCAGATGTGCTCGGGCCCAGCGCTGGCCACCAGCTTGCCTACCTCGAAGTACTGAGTGATGGGGTTGTGGTCAAGAACATTCTGTGCTGCTGAGCCGCCACCCCCACCACCAACCCTGCTCTTCAGGTTGGAGAACATGGCAGTGGCTGGCATTGGTGCGTCGCTAGAACCCGGGCTCTCGTCTCATCCTACCGCCTGGCTGCCCCTGCAACAATCAACATTCTGTACAAGCGTACAACATGGCCCCCACAGAGGAGGTAGTTACCTCCTCAGGTAACTACCTGCAGAAACCTGGGCAGTTTCCCGGTGATGGAACCGGCACTTCAGGTAAGCCACAGTTATGACGACTGGACATCAAAACACATACAACTTAGGTATTTTAAAATCACATTTCATTTCTGGGAATCAGTGAGTCAGTCCTGTAACTTAGCATTTTTGAAAACGTCACACTGCATCGGCAACATAAGAAGATTTTTGCATTAGGCTTCAGAAGTTTCGAAAATGTTGTGCCGATCGATGGGCTTTCTACTTGAAAAAAAAAAATACATACTTTTCAAAAAGCATCCAAAAGCTACTGAAAATCTAATAGTAATTATAATTGGGCTATGTGGTAACATTTCTCGAAGCTATTTATTTAAAAAAATGTTTATCCATAATGAAGAGCATTGAGAACACCATGACGATCTGATCAGTTGACAAAGCTAATTTTAGAAATCATCTTTTTCTCTTTAAAATCCAACATCCAGTTGAGACAATTTATGAAATATGAGCTTCTCGGAACTAATTTCCTGTGCCAAAACTTTTACTAACCATTGGTCTTTTGTGAAAAGAATTGAAACGCAATTGTTGCTAATTTCAACCCTCAGAACCGTTAACGCTTTTTAAAGTTGGTGCAAAAACTTATATTTATTATATGCACAACATATTACCCAGATAGATTAAGAAAACATTTATGGTAAGGAGTATTTTTGTGTGTTTCTTGTTAAAAAATGATAAGCTTCGTAAACTTGTAATATTCGTATTTTACTTCGAGCACTTGCTGCCAATACTATGTCGTATGCTTCAATTAAATCATACTTGTGTTAACTTTTGACCTTTTCGGTATTGGTTTTCAATGAACAAGTTATTATGTAAAGCTCATTTTGTTAACAAATTTAATGGATTTACTCACAAAACATAAAATTACCTGCAACATTTTTAGACAGAATCATTTAGTAGAGGATTTTTTAAATATCTGGAATTTGAAGCAAAAAGTTTCAATTATTCTTAGTCATTATCTAGATTGCTACCATGCTGGTTTCGCTCACGCTCATTAGATAGGACGAGTTAAAAGATGCTTAATTACTCCCTCTTGTCTCGTTATCGGAGCTGATCCAACAATAAAACTGGTCCAATATATCGAACATCTTAACTAATGAACTGTAAAGTCAAATGCACTTTTCTTTTGAGACTATTGACTATTTACAAGGGTATTCGATATATATAATACATATTTCCTGATTTATAATAGTGGAGTGTAAAAAATACACAGTGAATTTGCAGTTTTGTAATGATAAACAGGTTTGTTGAAATGGTACTTACATTTCTATGGCTCTGATTCAACTTTTTGGTGTCTTTATTTATTTATTTACTTATCGTAAAGGCAAATGTCTGCAATAACATTTTTAATAATGTTCATAATGGTAAAAGATGTAAATTGTCATCAGCTTTATAGATGTTAAAAACATATTTTTCTAACTGGAAACAAAAAAATTCAATAATTATTTTCGTTATTTGGTCATTAACCATATGTATATCATATAATGTATTATTGGATATTCAACTGAATTAGGACGCTGTATTGTTATTGTGCAAAAAGCCCAGTTTTACAGCGTTAATCGTGAACAACAATAACAATTTTTTTATTGCAATATAAGACATAGGCTACATCTAGCTTATTCATTCCTTTGCTACAAATGAAGAAACTTTTAAACTAATTAATTGGGAAAATCTTCCGTCTATTTGAATTATAAAAAACCCCGTAATACAAGAAATTTTGTAACACCAACATTTAAAATACGTAACTGCAATTTAAAGCACAGAATTTATGAAAATAGAAGTTACTAATCACGATTGAACTTTAAACCTTGAGGTAAAGCTGAAGGTCGCAACTCGATGTCTGATTGGCTGCCGGAAAATAGGAAATTGACCTGTGACTCATCCTGCCCGACATCCGGAACAGACATTGACGGAGTGGAAGGATTCTACGAGGGTTTGCTTGATAGACCTGTCTCGTCCAAACCTGCTCGTGCAGTGGTTAAGAGAAATGTATACTTACATCGATAAATATCCACACATAAAGTATATTTTCACCAAATATGTCTAAAAATCATACAGATTCTATGTTAAAACGTTTACATGAATTAGAATTCAATTTCAAGATGTTTCATACATATTTGTATTTCCAGAAGAGCAGTTAAATAAATTTTAACCGTAGTATGGTTAATTTGGTCCCAAGTGTCAAAAGTGACTCTTTTTGGCACGAGCTTAAGTTTAACAACTGAGATTAGAAATGAGGGCTTAAATGACACCTCTAATCCATGCTATTAATGATATTTTTCGTTATTTAAGCTAAATAAATCACAATACCTGCGATTTTCACCTTTAACACTACTTATGGTCCATATAATTTACGTTTTGTTCTGCTTTTGCATACGACCAGCAGTTACCGTGCAGCAATTAAAAGTACTACTCCGCCAAGGTAATAAATTTAAATTTATTATTAAATCTAAATGTTGTTAAAGTGTAAATATCTATATTATTGTAGGCAAACATACAATAATAACGAAGAACATTTTTTCGGCAATTGAGACTATTTCTTTATGTAAGATCAGCAGAGGAATTAAAATCAGAAAATGTATAGAAAATTTCTTCAACTCTAGCTGACAATTCATCGCCAGCAAAGGTAGGAAAATAACTTCTGTAGACCCATAATACTATTTTATAACATCCATTTTAGCTGCAATGTAACGAAATTATGATGATTCACTAAAAATAACCATTCCTAAACACTGAAGGTGGGGGAAAATAATATAATTTATTTTAACTTAGGAAATTTAAATTATATTCAAATTAAAAAAGAATATTCCAGAAAAATATTACGCTAAGCAATTACGTATAGCAATTTAGGACATTTATCTATGTGTATTTTTATATAAAACTTTTTATGTATAGTTTCTTACGATGTATATTTAGTAATTGAATTGAATGTCTAAAAAGTTTTTATTTGACATTTTCATCCCATTTTCACATGCTCGAAAGAGTAATACGTTACCAAAGTGTCTGTTTCTTTTCAATACCATCCATCAAGCGATGTCACATGAAGATATTGGTTGGGTATATCTTCTCTGTGGCTTTTCAACTTTACATTTTAATATATTATAAGCATACATGAATGTATTTTCGCCTAGTATAATCCTGCAGTGGATAGTAGTGGTTGGAGATGTGGGCATTGGTTCGAAACACGAAAAAACTACCGAATATGGATCTCAATTTCAAAAAATTATTCAAAAGTAGTTTGTATCCTTCATTTCATTAGTATATAATGGATCAGATATTCTAATCTTCATATAACAGGCTAAAATATACGTTTGAATTACTGAAGTATTTATTTTACAATTATATTTGAAATAAATATCTAAAATCTACAAAATGTAATGTTTATGTAAAAATAAATATATTACAACCACTGATCCACTGACCCCCTGTTTTAAACTCACTGATCAAATTCGGATGAATATCTATGGGCTTTAAATTCATTGATATATTGAATTAAGGCGTAAATTAAAAATACTAATTAAATAAAGAATGTGAGTGACGTTCTAAAACCATCATTGATTGTAAAATTTTTTGCTTTTTAAAATAAAAATTTTAATAGCTGATGTGACTGTCGAGAATTCGGTCTAAAATGTGAGACATCCAAAACTAATTTATGATGTCGACACACAAAAACGATTAAACCAATTCATCAGTGCTATGACAGGATGTTGTACTCGTGGGACCAAGTTCAAAATGAGCTATCGTGTAAGGGAATATAAAAGAACATGTATTTTGTAGATTATCTATTCGAAAACCTTTAGGCGTGTGAACTTTAATTTAGGCAAGTTTTGTTAAAAACCTTTTTATTTGGAATAGAATGTGTTGCATGTTTTTAACATTATACAACAATGATATTTTTAATATAAATTAGATACTAGGTTTGACAACGGACTAATTTTAATTTCAACTTTAAAAGTTATTCGGAAGATGTAGGATATAAATAATTTATATAATTATTCTGCAAACTGATATTGTGTAATAGTATCAAATAATATTTTATGAAATATTAGCTAAAATATTCAGTACCATTTCTCTTCAAACAAGAAACAATGCATATAAAAGGCAAGAGGGAAATGAAAATTAAAGCAGAAGGTGCACTTGGAATACTCCAACAAGGGAAACCGTAGTTACACTAAATGGCTGTATACCAAGATGCGAGATTGCACAAAATACAAGCTGCATATTATACAGGAACACTTGTGTGTGTCTAGGTAAAGTTTAACTGTTCAACTACTTACTGTGTAAATATTTTACCTATGCTCAAATCTTTAATAAATCTTCAATTAATCAAACGTAACCATTTGGTAGAGTGTGACGTGGTACTTTTCACCGATACTCTTGTGGCGTATTCCTAAGAAGGGGATTTTAAAAATAAAGTGGACTGTATGTGAAGGGATGATAAATTTAATTTTGGTTGCAAAAAATAATGTTATGGACCTTTGGTTTTAATTTAGGTACAATTAAGTTTACACATGATGTTTAAAAGGTCTGGTAGAGGATGTATGAGTATGGCCATCTGATGAAAAGATAGCTTCTTTAAATAAAATTTTTAAGAGTTCAAAATTTCTCACATACACAATTTAAATTCAAATTAAAGGGGTTGGTAGGTTAGTCAAGCACTAAAGGAAGAGTTAGATGGATGAAAAAAAATAAGATGAGAAAAAAATGAAATTGTTACACAAAAACTATATAAAGAAGGTAAAAGCACAGTTTTTAAGAAGAGTATGTTTACTTCATAAATTTGTATTATGTTGTGGCCATGTGGGGAGATTGTAATATGCTCTCTCTCTCACACACACAAATGATCAGCTGGCCTATTAATGAATACTGAACAACTGTTGTTATATTGGTTTACGCAAAATAATAAGACAAAATATATTTGAAGGACACATATTTTCGTCTACCAACCTTCTTGCAAGCTTTCCGAAGATGGGCATCATTTTGTTGTTGTTGCGAGGACGTCTTGCCCTCAGCAGAACATTCGGGGTTCAGCTGAAACAGAGGTTCAAGTTAGATTATTTCCATTAGATTAAATCTATCTTTATCATCACTAACTTTTCTTCCTAGGTTATGTAAGTGTTTGAGACTGCCATATGTATGACTGTCGTGAGTATGAGAACAAAAAATGTTCAAACCTTTAACATAAATAATTGCTTTAAGAGGACTCATGTGAAAATTGCAAGGTTTTCTACAATAGAAAACGGTTACTCCCCCACTGTTTAATTTGTACGTCTAAGTTTTATCATAGTTAAAGATATTTTCTCCTTCTGGAAACAGTTTCGAGGGCTTTCCGGGTTTCGAAGATGACACTTTGATTGTTAATGATCATTTGAACATGTCTAAGCAAATATAAAAACACCTCCCACCACAGCAACCTGTAAGAATTTGCATTTGCCTGATTAGATTTTTAGATATCTCCTAAAAAATTCATATTTATTCCCTGTTTAAATAACATTAGCTTAACAATTACTTAGGTTTGCTGATAAAGGGCCCCCGTTCTCATAGTCCGATCATGCTGGTTCATGAACTCGTTCGAAGAGATGTAGGTGTTCACGTTTATACCAATTTTCATCAAAATCGGATCAATGTTGCTTGAGTTATCGTGTTAACAGATACATACACTATATATGAATTTGAACGTATAATGTTTTTGACCTCAAAAAGAAAAAGTAAGTCGGTCCCGGGTACTGATTTACCATGAGACCTACGTTAATAGCTTATTCCCTTTATGGTAAATTCCCTAGTTACAGAATAATTTGGATGTTAATTATGAAAACTATTTTAGAGAAAATTTTTAGGATGAAATGCACGAAGGATAGCCGACGATTATATTATTTAGTTATTGAAGATAAATACCTGTTAAATTCAGTAGGCTAATGGTAAAAGATTGACTAGGTGTTTTTTATTTTACAAAGCTATTTACATACAGCTTTATCTGAATAAGAAATAAGAAAATATATCTGACTCCATTTTACTGACTAATACGTGTACATGCAACTTTTTCCACCCGGTTCATATATTTTGTGAACTTAGCTTATCATTATAAAAAAGTATCATGTTCAAAGGAAAATCTAAGTTCTGCTTGGAGCGAATGTATAAGATCAAATATTAACCGTTAGCCAAGAAGTAAAGACCTCTAAGGTTCTTTAATGTCCCCCCAGGAACTAAGATTACACGTACCTTCAAGCTACAAGAGTTCGATCGTTCCAGAATATCAGAGTTTGTAAGAAACCTTTCAGGATTGGGAACTTCATTATTTTACAAAAGTACTTGTCAACCAGAGTCTAAGTAATATATTTAATAATATCAGGTTAGAAATACTAGGAGGAAAAAATAAACAAAAATAAAACAAATATACAATAAGCTTCAAACGAAAACTAAATCGTAATAGATTTTACATTCAGTTCAATTTAATACATCACGGATGATCGAATTTCATTCAAAATTCATCGCTGGTGCTATTTTATAGAAGTGAAAATAAATTAGAATATTATAATTCCGTTGAAACTGTGGCATGAAAAGGATAGTGAGTTATCTTAAAGTGGTGTGTCAGGCCAGTATCCCACCATTCACCATTCGAATTTGGGTAAGTGACGATGAGCGGCACGGAACTTACCTGAATCCTAATATAAACTTGCTATGTAAAATAAGTCCTAAACATAAAATAAGCTGAAATAAAACAAGTTTTTTAAAAATTTATTACTAAAATAAAAAAAAAAACTCTGTATAAATTATGTTTACCATACGTCAATCTAAATGGATAAACTGAGCAAATATAATTGGGGTTATTTAGGGCATAAGGTTGTCGACATTTAAGAGATGAATGTTTTTTTAAATCAAACTGTGCCCTACGTACCATTAACATTTAAATGTCTTGAAGATAAGCATGAGGGTTATTTTAAGTTGAATAAATTGAATGAAATATTGTGAAAGTAGGTTGTCTCTCAGAGGAAATACTGCAAATGACTCCGGTACTTGAGGCACATCAATCGTACACCCACTGTCACTAAAAAGTGGAGTTCTTTCAAGAATAGACAACTAAAATCTTGAAACTGAAAATCTTACGTCATTACAGTACAATAAGCAGCAGTTTTCAGATGTCAATAATAAGCAAAATATTAAAGAGGGGAAACAATATTATTCCGTATTGTACGATTGGGTCTATTAAATCAATACAATCCCAGTATACTAGAAATAATTTTTAATGTATTAATTGTAAAAGGTAACACATTCAAATTACTATGGAATAGTAGTTGTTATTGCTGAATTTATTTAGTGATTCAATCGCTCATAGTGAAATATGGAATTAAATTGTCGAATACGTAATTATAAATAAGCTATTGATAAACAAGGCGTGATTTTCAAAAGGCGTACACTTACACTCCCACGAAATATACACAACCTAATGGAAATAAATCCAAAAATTAATCAAAGAAGTTTAGAAATTAAAATCCTTTAAAGGTGTAAACAGTATCTGTATCTGAACAAGAATAAACTTTTTGAAAAACTGTTGTTTTATAAACGAAAAACTTTAGTCTTCCTCCATGTAGCCTATAATTAAAAGCTTAAGCTTAGCCATAACAAATTTGAGCTATAAGTTAAAACTTTAACAATCATAGCGTTTTTAAATTGTGGATTTAAGTGGTCAGAAAGCTTTGCACTTAGCGTTAAAATATTGTGATCTAAAATGAAATACCTTCTATAACCTACTATAAACATTTAAATAGTTTCACTATAAGTAGGCTTATTTTGGCTCACTCTCTATATTAGAAAAGAATACTTATTCTTAAACTCAGATTCGTAAATATTAAAAGCCTTCTTAAATAAAAGTGTTTCTTTGACGTCGTAAAGGAGACAGGAAGGCTCTACGTTAAATAACCAAGATTACATCATGTCACCATCACTGTACTGTGACGTCATTCCGAGTATGTTATTGCACAGATAAGTAAGGTAAGGAGGAAACATTCAATAATACACTTAAATGTGTCTATCCCTACTCGCATGGTGTCCAACACCACCCCTCACCATCATAAACTACAGTGCTCGTGGTGAAGAAAGACCCTGTGTGCCCTCGATAGGAATGTCCGCACAGTGTTTGGCACTTGGGCTCTTCCATGCTCGTCACAAGTATTTTTCCGCTCCACTATACAAGAGCTAAAAGACACGGTTGTCCCATAAACAAGTTTCCTCTGTACCTTACTTATCTGAGGTTATGAAACATGACGTCATGTCGTGTATACAATTGTTACATGACGTGATTCCATGTTCATGTATCTCATATGACGTCATGTCATGCTCAGGACTATAATATAATTTTACGCGTATGTGACAGTAAAATGACTATGAAATTAGTCATGTGATCGTTACTTGACATCATGTCGTGTGTCTTGTATGTGATTATTACATGACGTCATATCGTGTCCCTGACTGTGTGACTATTGTAAACAGAACCAACAAGGGGCTATTAACAGTATTGCTACTCAATGTTAGCCTAACTAACTGTCAATAGAGATGGCTATCGACTACTCTTGTCAATACAATCTCTATTAACCTGAAAGCCGATATAACAGTTTGTGTTTGAATAATTTATATCGTTGCCAAGAGCAATTATATGGATTCAATAATGGAGGTAGTCTTTATTATTTGTTTTTAGTTTGGTTTCGTTTAATATAATTTATTAAATAAATTTACCTACCACCGGTTTTTTAAACTAACCGTACCAGTTCACTTCTTAGAATTGAAAAGTTTCACATATCAGCGTTGTTTACTTACATATCAGCATAGGTTTACTCATAACAACACGGGTAACGGACCTATGAGGTTTAATGATTTGGACAAAAGAAACAAAACTGTAATCATTCGAGCTTTAATTAATCAGCTGTTCAGGCCAATTTAATTGTTGAGTGGTGCAATTAGTGTTTGGTACAATGTTTCGTTGCATCACTGTCAGTGGCCGTGAGAGGTTATAAACAAAAACATATATTAACCTCTCTTATAAGCTATGAGTAGTGATTTTTAGTAATTACAACACTGTCATAGGTAAAGTAGTGTACACAACTCGTTGCGTGAACTTAACTACTGTATTTTTAGATGTTCCTCTTATTATACTGCACTGGATAGCTGCATTTTTTCTTTGATTTAGCAACAGTTTTTCATCTGCTTTTTAGTGCATATGAACGTTCGATTTGAATTATTTTGGCTGTGCAGTACCTTGATAGCTATGCAGCCGTCTTGTAACATCTTAATCCTGGTCTAGCGCAAAGAAATTATTTCAATTGTTTTGTATTTCCTACAATTTAATATCTGGGAATCGTAGCCGAACAGACCCTATCACCCCATCTATATATCCATTTATGTCTTGGGCTTAAAATGCTCATAGAAATATAGGCTTTTATTTGAGATATTTATCGTTTGAATAAATTAATTTAAAGGTACTGTATTACACAATAAAAAAACCGAAATTAGTTTTGGTATGTTTTTATCCAAGAACCTCCAGTGAAATATCAGCTTTCATTTCAGTTATTAATCATTACGATTGGACGTACCTAATGCACACTGCTGAATCACGAACAACCTAAATTATTCAAAAATGGAGTTATTTATCATCGGTTGATAGATAAATTATATTACTTGAAACCACAACAGTAATCATAGATTTCGACGGGTTTCAACTAGTATTGCTTTAGATTTCAAAATGCCCTCCTACATGAAATATAGCATTCGAATTTTTGCGATAAAAAATACTTTATGTATCAAAGTATACAATTTTAACACGAAGTGTTATTTTCCTGAAAATGTGATGCTTAGTTTCTACTTATTTATGAAACGTTTGTAAGATAGAACCCTAAGGACAATGGCAAGAATACGAAAACTAAATTTTCTCTATTATTACATAAGTTTAGTTTTTTCATATGCAGGAAAGTTGTTGCTATATTTGTCAATATAATTAATGAGTTCCAAGAAAGTAAAAGTAATAAGCTGTTCACTTTTCC